ATCATCCTATCACTTATTGATGACATTAGTATTCATATTCTTGGGCTACAAGCCGTGTGGGTCAACCTCAAATGGGCCTAGGACGCCATTCTTGAATACTTACTATTTTTAGCAGATTGGGCCCAAAATAATGTTTGGGCTGCCCGACCTTCTTTAATTAGTATCAAAAGGTTATGTATCATTATTTACATAATGTTGGGCTCTTATATTTAATAAGATGGCCCCAAATAAGTATTTGAAAGCCCATCACTAATATACGAGCTCGAACAGTAAAATAATCAAACATGCACTACGTAAAACATTAGTCGTTTACATTTGTTTGGTAAAAGGAAATTCAATACATAAACTTTGAATTTTAAATTGAATTTCAAGGACATTCGGGTGCGGTGTTACATAGTATGTGCATCTGGCTACGTTCTAAACAATGTATTGCATAGAGGGAGAAGAAAGATTGAAAGAACGCTACTTGCAAATTCTAATAAGGAACGAACCCAATTCCTTCTGAAGTCATAAAACAACCAATGCAAGACACTCTCAACAATGCAATTTCTGGGGGGGTTGTTTCCTCTTCCTGGCGCCACACAATATACAATGCAAAGTTTGAGGAGGAGTTTGAGGATGCAGAGTTTGAGGAGGAGTTTTCAAAGTTCTCCTACCAAGCACAATATACAATGCAAAGTTTGAGGAGGAGTTTGAGGATGCAGAGTTTGAGGAGGAGTTTTCAAAGTTCTCCTACCAAGCGCCAAACAATGTCAAATGCATCCTACTAAGTGCTCCAGTAGAGGGGGGGCACAAAGAAAAAAGAAAAAAAAAGATCAATGAGAGACAAGTCTCAATGGCTTAGTAAACTCAACTAAGCCAACTCAAGGGACAAAGTGAAGAGTGAGTGATTGAGTGACTTAATGAACACTATGAGAGTGAGATAGCAGAAGGCTCCAATGAGCAAGAAAAAATAATCAATGACAAGTCAGCTGCCTCAAAGGCACTATCAATCGAGGAATCAATCATAGTAACTGAAATACTCCAGACATTTCCTCATAGGTTCAGAACTGAATTTATTCAGATCCCAGGTAGAAGTTAATGCATCTTGCCCACTGGCGCATGCACAACCCTACCCTAGACCACTCATCTGTCTCCCAACAGACATGTGATTAAACACATTTCATGGGGGAACCTCATCTCTTATCTGTCTCAAAAATTGACGGCTCTCTACTCTCCCCCCACTTCATTATAATTGCCAAATCAGCTCAAACCAAATGGTCAACTATACTCACTTCAAATGGTAAAAAGACTACATTTTGGAGAAGACAGGGGTCAGGTAATCAAATATTGAAGATGAATTTTAAAATTCTCATGGGAGAGCCTTCAAGATAAATCGCTGAATCTTTCTAAAATGCATTGTGTTAACCTTTTTCTTCCTTTTAACCCTAAAACATTGTTGGTCCAAAAGACACACAAGAATTAATCCAAATAAGAGCAACACAATGAAGAAATAAAACTAAGATATGGGAAGTATAGTTACGTGAACATACTTCTCATCTCATCTATACATTTCAATTTTTTGTAAGTCATATATATAACCTCAGGACTCGACACCTCATCTAGACTTTTCAGATTTCATAGGGGACATATCACGGCTACGGACTGAAATGCCTCTAATAATATTTAAATTTGGGATTAATTCGCCCCAAAAGGATTCTAAAAGGGGTACAATTTTCCAGGCACTTACATTTGATATAGGTAGGTAAGTATCTTGTATGGGACACTTAACAAACATATGGTAAGAGAATGTGTGGACAACAAATGTTGGTTGTTGATTAAGAGGACCTAAAAGCTGTGAAGGAAATGCAAGTTTTGGCGGTAATGTCATTCGTTACGAATCAGGGATCTAGACATTTTGTACTTGAGTTACATTGTTCTTAAGGTGACTTAAATTCTCAAAAAGGCGCATACGTGTTTAAACAATTCATTGCTCTTGAACACATAACTACATAAACCATAGAGGCCGCACTGAATCATGTGTAATTATAACAAGGGGTGCAAGTGATTGATAACTTCATGTGTATTAAATGTTTTGTGCATATTGATAAGCAACATTTTCGAAGTACATGAAAGACCTACACATGGTTGACAGAGCTTATGAATGTCGCATCCACTTATGTGACATATGAAGCTTTGACAGTCATATTGTGCATATGATAGTAACTGGTGAGTGGATTGATATGTACTAACTGATAGTAAACAGATTTCATTGTTTGTAATTTCCAAAGATCATTGGGTTGGTAAGAAACCGTATGCAATTTGGATGTGAGGTTATACTCCTTGTGGAAGGGCATAGTGCGATTGCGCAATGACTAATTCCCACTTTTAGGAAATAGATGGGTATGCAGACGATGGGGGGCCTAGGGATGGACAGGGACGGGTTGGCCCGGCCCTCTTTAGGTCCGGAGCCCGGCCCGGTGGCTACAAGGGTGAGCTTCAGGCTCGTTTCTTTAGGCCCAACCCGACCGAGATCAGGCCGGTCCCGATTGCACTATTTTTTTTTAATTTATTGCTCAGACCAGTCTTCCATCATTTGCAATGGAGCCAAAGATTCGCTATTTTTTGGCTCGTGAATATGATGGAATAAAGTAAAATGATTCACTAAACTGTCTGCGCTTCTTTGTAATAAAGCAACAGTTAGCTCATGCAATTTCCGACGCGATTTTCGTCATGGGTCATCCGGAAACAGTCTCTTTATGCTTTTAGTACAGGGGGTAAGACTGCATACATCCGACCCCCCTTACCCCACTGTAGGTGGGAGCCTTTGCGACACAGGTAATGATGATGATGATGATGCTCAGGCCAGTCTCGTCCAGGTCTCGACCCAATACTGTTTAGGCCCGGCCCGATCCCGTTACAGTCCCGGTCCCACCCAGTCCCGGACCGGAGCCCAGCCCGATCCCGATCCATCCCTAGGGAGGCCACCCTAACTAGTGGGGTTTTATGTAGTGTCTCTAAAGTCTAAAACAGTTGGTTTTTTAAGACACAGCATAAAGATGGATTTACTGCTCTCATAAGTAGACCTGCACAAAAACGGGTTCGGGCCGGGCTCGGGCCGGGCTTTTTATAATTTTTTTGCCCATCATATGTGGGCGGGCCCGGCCCGGCCCGCAAAAACGGGCCTAACCCCATGTCCATACCCGCCCATAAGAGTGGGCCGGGTAGTCCACCGGGCCTTCGGGCCCGGAAAACCTTTATATTTTTCGAATTTTTTTAATACTTTAAAACTAATATTACAACATTTAAAAAATTGTTAATATGCGTGTAATGTTTATAGGTCTTTCACCACATACAAAAATAATACTTACACAAAAATAATAATGAGAAATTATATCTAAAATTTAAAATTCAAGCACAAAGTATTATCTTTAAGTACAAAAATAGATACTATATTAGTTGGGCTAGTGGTTCAGATCTAAAAACCTAAATTTAAACATAATAAACTATAAATATGTATAAAGATAAATTATATTAGAAAATATAAATGTACATGTAAATAAATAAATTATATATATATATATATATATATATAATGTAGCGGGCCGGGCTTATCGGCCCGAACGAGCCTACACCCTAACCCAAGCCCGCCCATATGTTATTGCGGGCCGGGCCGGGCCCGGCCCGGTGGGTAAATATATATGCCCAAGCCCGCCCATTTGTGCGGGCCGGTTGGGCGGGCTGGGCGGGCCGGCCCGGTTTTGTGCAGGTCTACTCATAAGTGATCCACACTCACCATCTTAAAATTCTTTGCCAACACAAAGTAGTCAAACCTTTGGTGAAGTCGGGCACGGAGATTGACTAGACAGGCAGATAGTAAGGCCGGACTTGGTGATCTCACAAGTGGTGCACGCTCATTAATAAATTCCTTGGGGCTAGGGATGGACCGATTCCGGGCCGGGCCAGTCCAAATCGGGCTTTTTTTAGGGGAGGAGGCCCAGAACCGGCCTGGGATTCCACCGGGTCCGAGCCAATCTCGAGCCGGTTCCTTTTTTTTTTTTTTTTTGCTTTTTTAATTAACCCCTGACCCCCCCCCCCCACCCCACCCACACCCCCCCAAACCCTCCCAAAACACCCAGCCCAACCCGGGAAAAACAAAAGAAATTGAAAAAAATAGGCCCAAACCAGGCTCGACCAGGCCAGTCGCAAAGGAAGGTAGGCCCAAAACCGCCCGACCCTAACTCCCCGGGCCGGGCCTAGGCCCAGAACCAGTTACGCTGAACCGGGCCGGTCCGGGCCCACACAGTGGCGAGTCGGGTCAACCAGAACCGGTCCATCCCTAGGTCAAGTCGGTGTTATGTAAGTCAAGCTACTTATTGTTGATAACCAGGAAAGTTGGAAACCAGTTCTCACAAATCTCTTAGTAGTCATGGACTCGAGCCGGGTGGCCCGACCCGGAACCGGCCTAAGACCGGTACTGTGCTGAACCGGCCGGGCCCGTGGCCCGGCCAGTGACCGGTCCAGGTAGGCCCGGCCTGGGGGGGTTCCCGGTGCGGGTTTGGGTCACCCAAAAGCCAAACCGGCCCGGCCAATTCAGGCCCGGTTCCGGGCTTTTTAATCTATTTTTTCAATTTTTTTTTACTTTTCAGTTTGGGCCATTTGGGGTGGTTTGGGGGGTTGGGGGTGAGGGGGGGGTTAATTAGGAAAAGGAAAAAAAATTGACCCGAGGCTCGGCCTGGCCCAGGCCCGGTTCTTCCCTTCCCAAAAAAAGCCCGGCCAGGCCCGGCCCGGGTCCATGACTGTCTCTTATGGACGTTGGTTCTATACCTAACCGCTAACGAGTCGCAAAAAGATTCATGTAATTCGCATATATGAATCTTGGAAATGAGTTCCATCTCAAAATTTTATCCGCAGTTCTAAATTTATCAAATAAAAATACGTTTTATGAACACCATCTTGTGCAGAAAACATCAAATATGGAAACACTAGTACGTTCCGATAAAAGGAAACTCTACGGAGTTTTGCATTGTGAACTTTTACCACCTATATTGAGCACAAAAAGCACAAAATTTTGATATAAATTAGTGCAAATTGACCAGGAATAAAGATCAGAGTATGTTGTGTCACAATGTTTTGTGTCTCAACAATCGTATTAGAATTAGAACTCTGCCATATCAGCTAGAACAACCACAACAAAGTACAAACACCCAATGCATGGCTAGAGGAGAAAAAAATCACATTACAAAGACAATTTAAAGGAAATGAAGAGAGTATTAGATAAGATATAGCTGCATCAAAAGATGATGAGCAGCTCACCTAACAACATGACACATGACAAAAGGTGGCATCACCGCATTTTGTAATGTTGAGTTCTTGATACAAGGCAACGCTTTCCTTGCAGCGAGTAGTTGATGGTTATATCTAGATCCCGATGATTTTTCTTGTTCTGCGTAACCGCCATGTTTCCGACAATGGTCTCCCCTTGGCATATGGTTAGGACATCCTCCAGGTACAGAACTGTTTGCTTCCAATGTGTGGTTCGTGACTTTGGCCCTGCACGTCAAAACACCACCCACCCTTCAGAAATATTACTTATTTATGCGCCCAGGCAAAAAGTGTCTTTTATGCACTATTGAACTGGTTCATTTCTAGTTTTCTACCATCAGTTTGCTCAATAGAATGGGACTTATAGCATGTGAGTGTGTGTATACATACGTGTGTGCCAAGAACAAAAAGGAGTCACCAGCAGAAAAGTTTAATTATGTGTGAACATGACCTGTAGAAAAGCCCATTAACTTGTGACACTTGGTGAATGATACATCAAAATATGCTACAAGTGCATGTATGTAATCATCGCGCTCCGCTACAAGCTTAAATGGAGCAGTGAAGGATTCATCTCCTGCACCCATCTTAGAGATGTCCATCGTCTAGAATATAGATGAAGAAGAAGAAGAAATATCTTAGCCAACAGATTACAGATGTGTTAACGCACTTCTAAAATACAGAAAAAATATAAATAATTTGATCATAAACTAAAGACGAACTCTCTACCTTGAGTAACTGACAGTTTGTTACAATTTGATTCTTATCTACCGTGTCAACAAGAGGTTCTGACATTGCCTGCTTCCTTATGCAACTCATATCAAAACCATACACACTGTTCCAAACTGCAAAATTCCAATATTTCTAATAGTTACGTAGACTAGAAACTACTACCTCTGTCACACCTAAAAAATCTATTTATTCAATGTACAACTTTCAACTTTTAGTAAGGTACACCTATTTATAATCATGAAATCTTACATATATTAAAAATCAATTTGTTGTTCAACTAGTATTGAACTTATATTCAACTTGTTTGTAACTTTTTTAGGAAATTTATATGCCAAATGAGCTCTATTTTATATATTGGGACTCTCTTTTGGGACAAAAAATAAAACTTGAGATAATACTGTTTTGGAAGGTAAAATATGGTTTAAAAAAGTTCAGCCCCATAAGTTATTCAGGGAAACTTAGACCAATCAAATTTTATTACTCAAATCACTAGAAACTCAAAACTCGAAAGCACAAGAAGAAATATATCACATTCAATCTTGTCCTCTTTGTAGTCAGCATCTTCAATAGCCGTCAAATATAGAGAAGCCTTATCTGGAAGCACAAGCCCATCTTTTACCTGCAGCAATAGAAGATGATAAGGCCTCACTAATATAAAACACAAACACTGCCTTATGCAGCTAAGCTTACGCAGAAAACGTCCATACTATAGGAATCATCATTAGTAACAAAGCAATGCAATAAAAGAAACTTACAAGCCACTTATTGCGGGCATAGAGTACTGTATTTAACATGTTCTCGTATAGAAGAAAATATCCCATCCACTCAGAGATTATTATATCCACATGAGCAACAGGAAGTTCAATTTCTTCAATCTTTCCCTTGATAACAGTTATTACTGAAAGCAAAATAATATGAGAGAGTTGGTATGCCTGAGTAAGTTGACAAAGTATGATAAATGGAATGCCAGAAATACATAAATACATGAATTATCATAATATTAAAAGCTAACTTGAGCATCACCATCAGAGAAACCATTTAACTTCACAATTTCTTGTGCCATGCCAGCCATGCTAGAGCATTCAACCTGAAATATGAAACACATGCATTCTTTCAGGTGAAACAACCTGCATTTGTTGGTTACATAACTTACAGAGCCATTAGCCAAACTAGCTTTTGCAATGAGACACAGGCCAAACAAAAAGAGACAGATAAAGATTTGTGAAAGTACAGTTTACAGGTGTAATTTCTTAGTAGGAATCAGATGCATACCGCATAAACATGTTTAGCACCAACTTTTGCACAAAAAAGTGAAAGGATCCCAGTCCCAGCACCCACATCAAGCACCACTTTGTCCTTGAACAGAAATGGATTCTTATCGATGACATTTTGGTACGTCTTAGTTCTAACTATGTCCTTCAACATTTCCTTAAACAATAATAAAAAACGTTACTGAGAGAGTAAACACAGATATTTAAGGGAAAGTCAATTAAATGATGGCAATAAAAAGGGTTGGAGAAATTAATAAAAATGCTTTTCTGTATTTATTTTACAATCATCACTGCTTGGTTTTCCCAGCACACTGCTGGCCAAGACATGTGCATTCATTGAATGAATATGCCCACACTACACCCCAACCATTAGAAAAAACGAAGATGATAGTACCATCTTCACAAACCACAGCACATTATATAATCGATGCCCAAAGATGAATACTTACTTCATGAATCCCTGCAAAAAAACAAACAAGTAGAAGCAGAACCATCATTAGTCCTTCAAATAAGAATGACAAATGTTGAATAGCATGATGCACAGTAGCAATTCATCATTATATTACTTTGCTGGTGAAACCTCAAATATATGGCACCATATTACTAGCGAGGGATGATATGTAATAAAATATGAATATAGTCATCAGAAAAGTCTATAATTCAACAACAATAGCTAATATGGAGTCTATGATACATGTTAATATGTTCCAAAAACATTGAATAGTGCAACATATACATACATATATATGAGAAATTATCACATACTCTCTCCGTCCCTTAAAACTTTGCCAACTTTACTTTTTTGGTTGTCCTACTAACTTTGTCATTTTCCCTTTTAAATAAAGAATTTGAGATTCCAGTGAATTCTTTCTCCTCAACCGCGCAGTTCTTACATTATTAATCCCCATGCCAGTCAAACTTGGCCAAGTTTTAAGAAACAGAGGGAGCATATGACAAAAAGAATCCCTCTTTCTCAACATATATGACCATTATCACTTTTTCCTAATATAATGGTGAATTGATGTATGCATGCCATGTGAGAGTTTTAAATTTATACACACGCCCTTGTCTTTCATTGACAAACCTTTTACACAGGGGTATTTTTAAACCTTTTTAGTCATACAAATGGTTAAAAACTACTATGGTCATTGGTCATATATTGGGAACTTGACACTTTTATACTCATTCATGAGTAATCCCTCCCTCAGCCCCTCCCCCACACATATATGTACACATGTAGATATACACACATACACTATTATTTATAACCTTTTCTACAACAACAACATTCAAGCCTTAGTCCCAAAAGAATTTGGTGTCAGCTAACATGAATCGATATATGAAATTGCAGCATTCATATTCCGATTTATGTAATATGATGTGACTATGTTTTTTTATAATAGCTTATCATTTTTATCTCTATTTTCTTTCTTTTCCTTTTGGTGATATCATGTATTGATTCATGTTAGCCGACCCCAATATCGTTTGGGACTAAGGCTTGATGTTGTTGTTGTTGTTGTGATGTGACTATGTTATATTGTCAGCCATCACGCACCTACCAAAAATGGTCTCATGGCAGAGTAGTTTATAATCTTTCATTCTTTCCTACAGGAAATAAAAGGATTGGGAGATGAAGTACATATACTAATTATATCATTACTGTTACCATTAATTGGGAGTGATAATTTAGCATGAAGTTATAAACTCTGACTTTAAGGACTGGTTCAGTACCAAATGAGGATCGTGACATTAAAGAAACAGGGTTTGTGCCTGTTGGAAAACAGAAAAAACAGCAATTGAGCCATATTTTGGGGGTTAAAGGGTTCGATTAGTGCGTTTTGGAGTTCAGAGACTAAACTGACTATTTAATCTAGTTAGCCCTATATACGTTGATCATAGTTATACTGCGTCTGCTTTGGCCACTAACAAAAACCACTAGAAATGAACAAAGGGCAAACCTTTCTTCAAGTATATAACTTTGGCTGCTAAAAGATATAACTTTACACTTAACAGATGTAGGGCATAGTAGATTTTGTTAACACAAAAGGAAACATTTAAGGTGAACTTCAGTATACTACTTCGGTTCTTCTTTCCCAAAGACACATAAATGTGAAAAATAAAATAAAGAGAGTTTAAAAGAAACTGAGAAATAAGTAACAAAAGGGCAACACGTGAATAGAAACTACCAAAGTGGGAGTAAGAGTCGAAATAATAATCGGCGCTGGTCTTATCCTCGGCGGACATGGAGTCCTCGTCGGCTAAGGGGTCACACATGGCCGTGTCCTCCTCAACCTTTACATTCGAGCTCTCTGTGAGAGCCTCGTCCTTGTACGGCCGCTGCTGCTTCTTGTCGTCTTTGTATTCAAACATTATCTTAGTTGCACGCTTCTCGAGATCTGGGGTGGTGGTGGGATTTAGAACCTCCGAATTCATCTTCGACTGGGTTGAGTTAGTGGATAGATAAATGGCGGCTGTGATTACTAGGGTTTAAGATTGGAAGTCGGATGACAAATGAGAGCTCAGTAGCATATTCGTTTTTCCAACTAGTATTGCACGGTAAATAATTATTTTGCATAAAAGGCAATAATCCTTGGTATTTTAGGTTTATCATAAGGATGTTTTTACTTGGACTCTAATTTGCTGGTCTGGTCTGGTCTGATCTGGTCTGCTCTGATCTGGTCTGGTCTGGTAAGGTCTGGTTTCTTTGTATTTTTATAACTATCCAGGTCTGGTCTGGTCTGGTGTGGTCTGGACTGGTCTGGTCTGGTCTGGTCTGGGACAAATTACAGTCCAAGTAAAAACATCCTAAATGTATAAAATGAAAATAATAGCAAATTATGGCCCATTCTACTAAATTATGAAAAAAAAACATTTTTTATTAATGAATTATTGTATAAAAAGAGCTAAATAGTCATATTCTTCCGATTCGGTTATATATGTAATTTGCAGCTTACTTATGTTAAAAAATTGGATGGGGTGAGACACGGTTAAAATAAATTGTATTTTCTATATTAAAATGAGTGTTTTCATATATATTCCCATTTTTTATATGGTCAAGTTCATGGGGTGTTTTGAAAAAAGCATTCCAGATAGTTAAGAAAATTCGGGTACCGTTTTAAAATATGGAGTTTTCTTATAAATGTTACTCCGTATAATCAAATAGTTAAGTTATCAAACATCTGCTGACAAACCGCTAGTTAACTTATCCCGCTAATGAAACCTACTAACTAATTAAATTCGCTATCGACAAACCGTTAGCATAATCTGCTAACCGCTAATTCTCGTACATTACCCCTTACCCTACCCCCGACCATTACCCCACCCCCGCGCTTCCCTACAACGACCCTACCCCACCCCCTACCACATGCCCCTACCTCGGCCCCACTCTGATCTCAACCCCACTCTACTTCCATCCTACCACCACCCACTACCACCTCGACCCCCCGCCCCACCCTTACCCCTCCCCTCCCTCATACCTTACCCTACCTCCTACCACAACACACGCACCTACCTCGCCCCCAACCCGAACGCGACTCCACCCTATCTCCATCCTACCCTCACTCTACCCCTTACCCTACCTTACTCCGACCCCCACCCTTACCCCCTAATCACGGCCCTTTCCTACCCCTCGACCCCATTCCGATCCATACCCCACCCTACCGCCATCCTACCCCCCTCCCACCTCACTCACCCTACCCCATCCCCTTACCCTACCCCATCCCCTTACACAACCCCTACCACATGGCCCCCTACCTCAGCCCTACCCCGATCCTAACTCCACCCCACCGCCATCCTACCCCCACCCACCCCACCTCTACCCTGGATACCCCTATCTTGGCCCACCCTGACCCCGACCCCACCGCCACATATACCCCTACCCCTACCCTACCTTACCCGACCTTACCTCACCTTTACCCCTAACCACGACCCAACCCCCTACCACTTGCCCTTACCCCCTATCATGATCCCACCCTACCGTCATCCTACCCCCACCCCTAGCCCTTACCACCCTACCCAACCCCCGACCATACTCCTTACCCAACCCCGCCCCGCCCATTCCCTAGCCCTTTACCCCCTACCTCGACCCCACCCTATCCCATCACATCATCCACCCATACCCCTTAACCACCCTACCCTCGACCATAATCCCACCCCCACCCTACCCTCTTACCCTACCTCGACCTTCCCCCGACCTCACCCCTATGAGTACCGTAGTTGTTAGGGGTATGGGTGGATGGGTATGAAGGGTTGTAGGGGAGTAGGGGTAGAGGGTAAGGTCGTGGTAAGGGTAGGGGTCAAAGGTGTGGAATTGGAGGCAGGTGTAGGGTGGGGTATGGGTACATGATATAAGGCGGGGTAGGGGTTAGGGGTATGGGTACACGTACGAGGTGACCCCACAAATTATATATACTTATATTATATACTTGTGTTCACGAATGTTTGTGTGTTGTTTTGGACATTTTAATGTTAAACGGTGTTCTAAACCCTTTGAAGTAAAATGATCTTGCAACAATATTGCTTATATCACGCGCTGCTTATTAACGCGGGTCTTAATAAGGACACTATAGTAAGGGGTGAATAAACTTGTGGTAATTACCCGCACAGTCCACTTCTATAGTTCTATGCGAGGCATATCATTTATGTCTTCGTTACTTTCTCTTTTCAATTATAAACTTTTCTCTATTCAATTTTAGCTTTTCTATTTCACTATTAGATCGGTTCTCCCAACCTTATCCGTCTGTAATAATTCCGTCTCCCTACAAGCGATTTGGAGAGGGAAGCTCCATACAAGCGATTTCCGTCGAATCGGTGGCTCCCTTTCGGAACCTCATCTGAGCAATTGGAGAAAACCGGTACATGCTGTTAGAGCAGAGTCTGGGACAAGCGATAGAGTTTTCAACTACACGACAGGTATACTCTGTGAGTTCTCGGTTCATCTTTCAATCGTCTATGCGTCCGACACCGTCCAAGGTTGCGACCTTCCGGCGACTGGCGGCCAATTTCGCAGAGCAGCGAACAGAGACCTGCGAATATGCTTGAGGTCGGTCTGTGCGGAAATCATGGCAACTCACGATGGAACTCGTGAAAAGGATCGACGGTTCTGGAATTAAAAGGAATGTAACTTCAGGTGTGTATTCCTCATTTCTGCGTCGGAGTCTACCTGGGAGCTGGGGTAGTTCTGTATCAGCTCCAACTTCTCCCACAACAGTTACATATGAGTTTGATGTTTAATAGACAACAAATTTTTTCAATTAAAAATTGATTGCTCTGAAGTTCGCAATTCTGAAACTAAACGTAGCGTTGGTTCCATCAATTGATATCTTCTTCATTTTTTTATTCATTTTTTACAACGTCCTCATTTGAAAAAAAAACGTTACATATTAGGTTTCTGGATCTTTTTTTGCTCTCCGCTCTATGATATATTCATCATTAGTTTGTGCTCTTCATACTGATGCTTTGTTTAGAGAATCCGAAAATATGCTTGTTTAATTTAGGAAGCGAGCGGGATGATATTCACATAAACATGTCAATTGAGCTCATCGTTTGCTTCATATGTAGTTCCACTTTTGTTAACTTTGATTAGTCTATTTTATTTTTCCAATCAAAATTCAGTTTTATATCATGGAGTATTTACCTAAACCAAAATTGCAGCCGCAATTGTTTTTAATCCTAATTTATGATTACTTGTCTTTTGTAATCATGTATGACTTATGGTCATGGAGCAGATCAAAGTACTCTGGACTACTATGTTTGGCCTTCTCATCAAAGTACTCTGTAATCCAGTGTACTATGGATGTTGTTTCAGATATTTTCCAGGTCTGTAAATCTCATTCCCATATACATACGAACACAAATAAACACGACGCTTGTAATTTGTGCAATGTCTTTTATCTATTCTCAACCAACATATTTGTGCTCGAATTTCATAACTTTGTTTTATTACTTTTGATGCTAAATACATGCAGCTCAATCAATTTCCCTTTTTGAAATGACATTCTCACATTCACAAGATCCACATTACTCTTCATTCTATCTCATGTATGGTTGAAGATCGAGAACCATGCAGCCAATCTTTGGAATGAAGAATGTCACTACACATTTGGTTTTAAGAACCATTATTGGATATTCATCATTACAAAGTCTCATCTACTGGTAAGATGTGCAGCTTGGAATATACCATCCTCAAATAAATAATGTCATATAAAAGGGGAGATTTGTTAATGCCTTTTATGTCATGAAGTATGCATAGAGTATATTATTTACCATTGTGGGAGATGATTTCCTGGTGACCATAAGATTGTCAATTCTTTTAGCATTCAAAGGTTACCATTGTCCCAGGCTGTTATATTAAGTTTAATGACTCCAATTGTGGTTGAAGTTGGTTCTCAGTTCATATGGCATGAAAAGATGAATCTAGCTTGCTGAAATTGGAGGTATATCATGATTGTGTATTCATGTAATCATGATTGTTTTATATCATGATGATGTCATGAAAATTGAGTTTTGTATCACGAATTCAACTCAGTTTTATATAATGATTATTTATCCTTGCTTCAATGTATTAAGTTGATATGGTATTATCAAGAAGACATTGAGAAAAGAGATGCATGAGAAAAAGTAATCATATCATTTCTACCCTTATATGCTTTTTTTATTTGACATGAACAAAATATTGATGGACTTCAATTTCCTCGTCAAAATCTTGGATTGCTTGAGAAGACATTTAATTATGTTGAAGGTTCCCGATGCATCGATTTTGACAACAAAATGATGATTGTAAAGGAAAGTGAAGAGAAGATATTCAACCTTGAAGAATTGTTACTAAGATGCATCAAAGGAAGTAAAGGAAAGCCAAATTATATAATATATTTTTTTTTTACTCCGGGGGGGGGGGGGGGGGGGGGGGTCTGGGGGAGGGGCTGTGGGGAGCCTGGAGTAATCAGGGTTGAAACTCACTCCATTGAGTTTCCAACCTTTGTCCAAATTATATAATATATATATGTGTAATACATTCAAATACTATAGAATGAATTACATAATTGATGTGATATTTTATATATTGTTTTTGTTGCTTTATGTTGTACTAAACGTGTTGCTTTTTGTTGCATCCTGTTTTTCTTTGTTGCATCGTGTTGGGATACTAACGATACAGAGGTTAGGATACTAACGGCAGAGAGGGTCACCGTGTATAGGCATGGCAATGGGTCGGGACGGGGCGGGTACTGCAAGACCCAGACCCGCCCCGTGACTTGGCGGGGAGGGTCCGCCCCGCCTCGTGACCTGCCCGGGTCCAAACTTGTTGACCCATGACCCGCCCCATGCGGGGCGGGTCCGCCCCATGCGGGGCGGGTCCGCCCCGTTGTAACCTAATTTGTTAGTATGTATTTTTATTTGTGGGAAGTTGTTACCCATTGAATCTACATAAAGTTTATCTCGAAATACTAATTAGAAATTAATATATTAAATAAAATTCATGATACGCTAAAAATTCCAAAATTAAGGAAAAATTACTCAGACTTGAATAGTTAATCTATTTAATTATATCAATAATTGAATATATGTATTAAAATC